CTAAAATATTAACTAAAATTATATCAAATTAGGAAATTAATAATAAATAAAATCTTTACTTATCTTTAATTTGAAAAATTAATTATAGTTAACGCACTTAAAAACACTTAAACTACAATTTTTTTTATTATAAAATTCATTATAAAATTATTTGTGCACAAATATATTTTCAATGTAAAACTCCATTGAACTTTACATTGAATTACTAAAAGTGCCAAAATAAATTTAGACATCATTGTCTTGAGATGTCCACCATTTCTCAACCAATTGATATAAAAATGATATCATTACATATAATTAATCTCAGATAAATACTTATTTATTCCACAAATTTTCTTTTAAATCCATTAATTATTTCTTATAGAAATATAACTAAAACTAATTCACCAAATTATCAATGCACGCCTTATGTTATTTATTTATAAATTCTTATGGTATCAAGGTTGGTTTATCTACAGTATAATCTAAGTTTGCAAGAAAACAATTAACAAAATTGAATAATGTATGAAAATGACCGCATTTGTGGTGTTTGTGGAGATACAAAATTTATAGGTATATCTAATAATAATATTAAATATATTTACAACCATGTTCAATTTTATATTAACGCAATGTTTAGGCAGAAACTTTTGTGCCAACACTTGTGGCTCGTGTAAGGCGTTCTTCCGGAGGTCTGCCCTCAAGTCTACGGTAGGAAATAGTTTATATAATAATGATTATGGTTTTATATTTAAATGCACGTTGGTCATATTTAAACAGGTATTGCACTGCGCCTCTAATGGGTTGTGCGAAATCACTGCCCAAACCCGCAAACTATGTAAAAAATGTAGACTTCAAAAGTGTTTTGCCATTGGAATGAGAATTGTATTTAAAATTTAACATTTACTTTACATTTAATTAAAATTATTTATTAATTTCAATGTTTATTCACTGAAGGAATTCATAAGAAGTGAAACCGAAAACGAAGTCCGAAAGCAAATATATAGAGAGAAACGACAGAAAAAACTATTGGAAAATAGGCTTAAAAATTGTGTTGATTTGTCAGAAACGGACTCAAATCAATCAAAACAGGAATCCATAGGAATTGATAGCAATAATAGCAATGAAAGTAACGAAATCGACGAATGGATAGACAGTATAGACGATAAAGAGCTGAGCGAACAGATCGACGAAATCATGAGCTATATTACGGAAGAGACGGAAGCGATGAAACAAATCCGGCAAAAGTCGGCTGCGATGGCAATCGTACCGATAGTCAAACCAATGGTCGACTACTGCGGCATAAATCAGTTGGAGAGCAGCCGTATAACCGAGTTGTCCGACGCGTCACTTGTGCTCAATTACCCGCCATTAAGTGACAATAGGGTGACCATCACCGGTCACCTGGAGATGATGATCGTTACGAACGGATTTTTTGAAACAAACATCCAAAATATAATCACTTTTACCAAACGTTTGCGAGGGTTTCAAAAGTTTTGCGCCGACGACCAGTTGGCGCTCGTAAAGCACGGCTTACTTGATATAACATTTCTCCGCGGATTTAAATATTACGATATACAGAATCAAGTGTTTAAATTTTATATAGTAAGTTGATTGTGGTTATTTTAATTTAATTTATATTTAAAATCTACATTCTGTAATTGTATTTAACAATTATAAATTAATTATTAATGTTTGTAATGCTATTTATTTAGGATGAAAATAACACATTAACAGTGGGTTTATGTGACTTTAAAGATCACAAGAGAAATACATACGATATGATACTTTTATTAATCAGCAAACTATTACCCGAGTGGGACCAGGATGATATTTTAATGGATTTAGTAAATTATTTATTTAAACAAATATTTATAATTAATTTACAAATAATTTATGTTTTTATTTTAATAAGTTAACTGCAATTGTTTTACTTAACCCAAAGCGACCGAATCTATTGCACAGACAAACTATTAAGTATGTAATATTAATTAATAATTAGCATAATTAAACTTTTTATTTATACTTAACTAATTTAATTATTAGACTCGAACAACAACTGTATATATATTTAATGCAAAGATATCTACTATTGAAGTGTGGGTCAGAATCGGAGTCCAAACCGAGACTACAGGCGCTCATGAATTCATTAACCGATCTCTCAATTACTGCCGAAAGTCATAAACGCTATGAATTGTCAGAAGTGGCCGAAAATAGTGCACTCATTCAATATTACGGCCCATTATTTCGAGAGATTTACGATTTGTAATATACACTTGGTTCAAATACCCTATCAGTTTATGTCTTTTATCCTTGTTCATTTAAATAATTTAATACAAAATATAATAAATACAATTATAACTATTTCCTAGAAATTAATTAATTGATTAATTTTCGAAAATAAATGTGTTGTATTGATACAGGGACAATTTATATAAAGTTATATAAAGTTAAGTATACATGTGTTAAGTATACAAGTATAAGTGTGCGTATAATTATAAGTATAATTATATACAAGTGTGCGTTTATATAAACATAACAATTAGTCATTATTATAAAATATGAAGGTAATTTAATCAATATAAAAGTACCTGTTGTAATGAATGACAACTATTTCACAACTATTAAGTTATATGAAATATAAGTATACGGTATAAGTGCTGACTCTCTATATCTCTTATTTAAATCATTTATAAATGTGTCAATAAATATTCTAACTAACCATTTTGTTTTGTTTTTAACGTTAAATATACATACAAATTGTATGATACAATATAATATTTTTACACTATTACATTTTGAGATACTTTGACATTTATGTGAATAATTAAGTTAGGTTATATTCTACAAACTAACCTATTTTACTTTCATTAAATAAAGCATACAATTATTCAACATAAAGGTAATTAATTTTTAAAATAGAATAATATTTTCTAATGTTGTCGCTAGTTATAATTCTATAATACTTTTAGACATTCACCTTGGTTAATTTAATCCATAATTACTTATTCAATATGAGTGCTAATAAAAAAGACAGAATTTGTGGCGTTTGCGACGATAATAAACAAATAGGTATTAATTGTAATTATTAAAAATTATAAACTAAATAATAATGAACTTAAAAAATTAATACAATTTTAGGCCGAAATTTTGGTGCCATATCTTGTGAGTCGTGTAAAGCCTTCTTTCGGAGAACTGCACTCAAGAATATAGTTAGAAATAGTTAATATTTAATTAATAAATTAATTATTACTAATTTAAACAATGTCATTTAATTTAGCCCTACTATTGTCCGTCAAATGGCAATTGTATTATGACATTGAAAACACGCAAACTATGCCAAAAATGTAGACTCGATAAGTGTTTGGCTATCGGTATGAAAGTTGTACGTAATTTACATCCATTTAATTAATATCTATTAGTTTTAAACATTATTTTAATTAATTATCATTTTTTCACAGCAATTGATCCGAAGTTTTGATGCGCGAGAAATGAACGCACAATTAGCGAGTCTTCAGACTAGTAATCAAACCATGGATTCAGATATTAGTAACGGATCTCATAGCGGATCAAATGATGGCCACAAAGACATCGACAATGACCGGGAAATCGATGACTTAATTGAAAACAGCGGTGATATCCACGACCAGGAGCTGTACGACCAGATGCTGGCCATTGAGAACTGTCTATTTGGCACAACTGTCACATCCAATCAGGTTGCGAGACATACGGCCCAGAGTTTGGCCATAACGCCAATGGTTAGGGTTATCACGGATTACGAGGGTATCAATCAGTTGGAGTGCCGGCGTATCCGTGAATTACACACAGCGACCAATATTTTCAATTACAATATCAGCGATAATGTGCTAAACATTACGGACGTGACTGAATTGGTCCGCTTGACGACCGGCCGGACAGAGGGTCACATCCGAGAAGTGATCGCATTTACCAAAGGTTTAGAGGGGTTCACAAAGTGCTGCGCCGACGACCAGTTGTCGCTCGTGAAGTGCGGCTGCATTGAAGTGATTTATATGCGGGGTATCGACTCGTATGACTCCAAAACAGATTGTTTTAATTTTCATCTAGTTAGTGAATATGATAATTAATTAGGTATAATACGAATTAATCTACTTAATACATATTTTTGTCTTATTTATTGTAATAGGATAATAATAATACACTTAAGTTGCATCTAGGATTATTTAAGCCCGAACGCCGAGACACTTATGGTATTTTTAGAAGTTATGTGGATAAGTTTTTAGGTCTGGTAAATGGCGATCCGGTTATTATGAACTTGGTAAATTACAAATATTATTTTATTAAGCAATTATTTTATTTCCATGGTAAATTAATTTGTGATTTATACAGCTGTGCGCGATTATCATGTACAATCCTAATCGACCAAACTTAAAACATAAGTACAATATAAAGTAAGTGATCGTTATTTAATATTTTATAAACCATTAAGAATAT